AAAAAAAAAAAATTCCCTAGCTTTCAGATTAAAAAAAACTAACCCAACCTCCCCTGCTTGTGCTCCTCACTCTCTCCACAACAGCCCCCAGCCCTACTGGTGCCCCTCATTCCCCCCACAACAGCCCCCCAGCTCTGCTCATGCCCGTTCAGTCCCCCCACAACAGCTCCCCAATCCAACTGGTGCCCCTCACTCCCCTCCACAGCCTCCCAGCCCTGTTTGTGCCCCCTGCCCCCCACCCACACAGCCCCTACCCCCTAGCCCTCAAGGAGGGGGCCCCCACTGCACCACTCTGGGTCGTGTGCCATCAGCTGGGCGCCCACTCCATTTGGGGCTTTCCCCAACACCTCCCTGCTCCCTCAGCCAGCTTCCCACAGGCGTGTCCACCCAGCCAGCAGCATGTGGGATCAGAGCGGCACGCTATCAGTCCTTCAGGGAAGACATACATGGAGATGTGGAGCCCACTCAGGCCAATCCTGTTCACAGTCCATGTGCTGCTGACTGGGTGGGCACTCTATGTCTTTCCATAACACCTCCCCACTCCCTTAGCCCCTAGTCACCTTCCCTCCCAGCCCTGCCGGTGCCCCCCAGCTTTGACCCGCAACCCCTCAGCCCTCTGCAAGCCCCATTTTCTTTCCTGGAGCCTGTGAGGTAAGGGAACCTGAGCCAAGCCTTGGGTGAGTGAGAGCCTCCGGCCCCTTCCTCCCCACACTCCAGACAGCGTTGGGGTTTTCTGCCCTTTTTGCAATCAGCTCTTGCAGGCTGGAACTCAATCAGGCTGCAGAGCTCTTTGCAAAACCAGGAAATCCACAGGTTTCCCTGCTAAAAGGTAAAATCCATTTTTTCTCTGATAAAATTGGGAAATTCGTGGTTTTCTCTGTTTTTCCATGGCAAATGGAAAACCCAGATCCCTGGTTAGTAATAATGTGACTTTAACCACCATCATATTTTTTAGTTTACTTTATCCCTTTTCTACCTCATCCTTGTTTTCCCTAGTCCAAAGGTAATTTCTTTAAGAAAGGGACAGTCTAACTCTGTAGTGGTCCAGGTACAATGTCAACCCCTTCTTAGACACTTCCTAAACACTACTGTAAGAAAACAGAAATCACATTGCAAAAAACTGTCTTATGCTGCTATTTTAGTCCTCTGATTAACTGTTCTGTGTGACTATATGGTTTACTAACAGTGCTAGAGATGGACATCCCTCTCTAGAACACTGCCTCTCTAGCACAGGCAGTGACAATTCATGCTTCTTCACCAACCTGTTCTAGCTGAGCCATAAATGTTAATGCAGTGTATCCCTCTATATATATATGAGGTTCATCCGTAATTCTTACATAAGCGATTAAGTTTCATCCTTGCTTTACAAGTTCATAAAAACAAAGCAGAGAGGTTAGGCACCTTGCCTATCACAGCACCACTTTTGCAAAGCAGGGAGCATAACCCCTGACTCAAGTATAGTTCAACACCCTTTCCTCTGTACTTGAAAGCCTTTTAGAATTAATTATGCTATTTTAGATAAAGACTTGTTAGAAAACTGCCTTAACTGGATCGCCATCTACTACTAGACCTTGTGTTTATCAAAAAAGAAGCAACTTCTAGACTGAAGCTACGAAAAACACAGCAGGAGGATATTCAACCCAGGCCCTCTAGTACTGGAATATATAAACTGTAAGCAATGTTTGGCTGCCTATATATGTACTCAGAGGTGGGAGGGGGGCTGTTTCTGAACAGCTGCTCTAATTAAAACGGCTCACCATCAGGTGTATTAAGCCCCACCCTCCCCAGTTTCAAAACGGCCATATGGGTGCTTTAACTAAAGCTCATTCAACAAGGTTTAGTTAAAGTGCCCACACTGGCATTTTGAAATGTGGGGGTACTTAACACATGATGGTGAGGCAGAGTGTTCTAATGAGAGTGTGAAGAAGCACATCTATAGGCAGCCTTTATTTTTCAGCTACTAATCTCCATCCCTTCCCAGGTGCTCTACATACTTTTCTGAAATCTGCCCAAACATAAAGTCCTCCAGAGCTTTTGAGAACAGGTATTCCAATCTCCGAAAGACCATCCACAAGAATGTTCTGTGCTTCCTTAAGTCTTTTCTTGTTGGTAGGAAGAAACACATTATCCAACCAATCTAGCAAAACAAGAAAAAGGATGAAAACTAATTATTTCTGAGTATTAATTGAAAAATTAAATAAAGAAAATGAAAATATTTCTGGTTCTGCTAACCTCTGTCACTAAGGAATTGGCTAAGAACATATTGAACAGGTCCTGGGCATCCATGAAAAACAGCCAGTTGATTCACAGCTTTCCGAATTTCATGACTTCTGGTGTATAACACTCCAACTCTGATACCACTCATACCAAAATCCTTGGAAGGCAAAAGGAAAAAAAGTTACACTGAGGTGTAAGGCTTCAGATTTACTAGGTATCTATATCTTAAATACTTAAGTAAAATTAAACAAAACTACAATTTTGTCCCACATAAGGATGAAGAATGTGTCAGAAGAGAGTGAGAAACACATCTCATTCTGAGATTTAAAAGATAATTTTTAAAACATTCTGATTAATATATGAACATTTTATTTTGTTGCTGGATAGCTTCCACTGACATTCAGATATAACTGACAGATGACAGAAAATCATCTAGGACAAGGCTGTAGAACTAGCAGGTCCCAGGCCACATGTGCTGCTTCACCTGCTGCTTTTTGCCCCACTCCAGGGGAAGGGCAGCAGGCCACAGAGTGGCCAAGCAAGTTTGCAGCATGGTATGGTGCAGCAGGGAGCATGCACTATGTGATGAAGGGTAGGGGGGGATATGAAGTACCAGGGCCCACAAGGTAGAGAGAGAGAGAGAGAGAGAGAGA